CAAAAGAATACTTAAAAGGAGACTATTCAGAAACAAATTATATGCGGGAATAATCCTCAATTTTCAGTCTAATTACAATCATAGACTGAATATCGGAAAAATGAGGAGTATAATTATCAGAAGCTTAAGACTAATGGGCCGTGAGTTCAGGAACAAGGAGTTGGAGAAACTGAATCGAAATTGCCTTAGTAACAGGAAAGAAATATAGGGCAGATTTCAACTAGGATTTTATGAAAATAAGATCAGAAATCGGGAGGACGACAAAAAGCGAATATGCCTACCTTCCTGTGAACTGATCCAGAAATTGCGATAATTGCTAAGAAAATGGAATATCAAGGTGATCACAAAATAAAACACAACACCCTTCACAAGCCTGCCGACGAAACACGAGAAGGTTGACAAAGTGGATTGCTTGGAAGTATATAGCATCAAATGCGGCAACTGCGAGCGGAAGTATATTGGTAAAACAGGAAGAAAAGTTAGCCTAAGAATCAAGGAACATCAAAGACTCTGCAGAAAAATGGACACTGAAAGATACGAAATAGCGGAACTAATCGCACGAACGGAACACGAAATCGGATACCAAGAGAAGACATCTACAGTAAGCCTATTCAAGTCAAGTGGAACCATCAGATTTCTAGGTCGGCACGCAATAAGTTGTCATATAAGAGCGAGAAAAACGGTAGTGGCAATTTCTAGTTGGCTGTTTGTAGATAAATTTGCTCATAGACGTGGGCCATGAAGTAAAGGCTTGACCACGAGACTTACTCGGTGCACATGCCGCACAGTGATAAGGGAATCTGCAGCCGCAGGTTAAGTTGTCATGCCAAATGAGAATCTAGACTTTAGGGGCTTGCTCAGTAAATATAGTGTAGACGTACTATCAAAGACTTGAGGCAGAGTGTAGAACGTTTTGAATAGCACGGAAACGGTGGCAGCGATGGGGTGAAACCACTGAAACAGGCATATAAGTAAAGGATTCTACGGAGCAAGATGGGACTCTGATAAGAGCCGAAGATAGAGGATTGTGGATTAAGCCGCAGCCTCGGATCAGCACTTCCGGCACAGTTGGAGGGATGAGGAAACCAGCGGGGTGTGTGAATAGATTTCAAATAGGTCTAGATAAACAAGAAATTGTAATATTGAAGGGGTTATACGAGGATATAGCATAGGTGAATAGCCCAGGACAGAAGGGGAGATACTACAGCTGTTTAGCACACAGTTAGTAAAAGGACCGGTTTCACTCTGACGAGTTGTAGTGTGGTGCTAAGAATGGCAAGACTCACTGACGATGCCGGCGAAAAGTCTAGGAATGTACTAAGTCCACGGTCCGACACTGGAAATTATCATACATACTCTGGACTCCAGACAAGGTGTGTTGCTCTACGTCGTCCTGCCAATATGACCAAGTTGCAAAAAAAAGGTCAAACAACTTCTATACTATTTTGAGTACTTTTATTATGAAAGCTAACCTGGCTAGTAAACAAACTTTTCATGAGAATATAGTATTCTAAGTATCTCTGAACTGAATTCGAATCAGAATCTCATTTTCATTAACACGTAAAGGAAGCATAGAGAATGGACCACATCCTAGGCAAAAGCAGCCCCAACATCATATACTACTGATGACATCAGAGAATGAAAAATACTTTCTAAACAGTAAATAAAATATATAAAACTTAACTACTATAACGATTATGATTAATATTGTTATAAAATAGCAAAATTAAAAATCAGGAATAAATAAGCACAAAGTATAAGGGAAAAAGGTATACCTGAAGAAAAAACTTAATTGCTCTTCTTGCGATAGTAGACTGCCAGTTGAGTAGGCTGTAGGCGTCTTCTGTCTCTTCCGAACACCCACCACCAGAGGCAGGATCATCTGCTGCCAAGGATGATGATGCTGACTCCTCGGCAGTGCCACCCAATGAAACTACTGGCAGACCAAAAAGGCCCTGAAGTAGAGGCGTCCGCCTCCGGCTAGTCATCGTCTCACCTAGTGGCCAGATGCCATTGGCCTGGGCATCAGTTCCAGTCTCTTCAAACAGCTCTGTTGTAGCAGAGCTAGAGGCGTGGAGCAATACCACAATCGGTGCGCCACCTCCTGGAGCGTCGGAACTGGCGATAGCTCCACCCATCTCCTGACACGCGCCGGTTAGCCAGCGCTGCACGACGCGTCGAGCTAGGGATGAGTCAGTCTCAACACGAGTCTCAAAGTTCAAAATGTCCGGTGGGGATCCGATCAGATCAGCTCCACTGGCCGAAAGATCACCACAATCTAGTTTATCTAGATCATCTGGTGCATCCGTAGGTTCATCCAGTTCATCGCAGGTGGAAGTAGAACCAAGCAATTTCCGATGCAGACGTGTATATAGGCCACTCAAGTTACCAGGTAGCTGGTTTACGCGGGCGCTGTCCAGCACGCAGATGTAGGCGCGACGAGACCATGGCACTACTAGGACGTACATCTAAAGAAGTAGGATGAAGCATTCTTCAGGAAACTTATTCCAGACTAATTGGCATGGATATATCACGATACCTAGGTTTAATTGATGAAGCTCAGAATCCTACCAGAGATGAGGAAGAATAGAGGCCAATTCGATTTTTAAAAGGAAATCCGATTCTGCCGACGCAGAAGAGCAAAATATGGGGATACATTATAGGTCCATCGTCCGCCTAGTTTGGGATCAATATTTATAAATTGTCAAGTTAATTTCCAGAAACAAGAATAACTAAATCGTATATGTGAAAATCAAGATGAGGTGGCTTGGTCACAGTCTCCTTTAGCTGCATTGCGTTGATATGAACTCGTTTTCGCTACTTCGTCAGGGTTACCAGTAGAACCTGTAGAACGTATCCAATCCTGAGTTCTGTTTTATAGTAGTCATAGTAACTTCCAGCATCGGACCGTTGACTGAATATATTTTCATAAGTTTCACCTACAACGCAATCAGCATAGTCATTGATAGGCGGCATCATCAACATCGAATTATAACAGTCAGTGACTATAGACTTTTGATAGGGTCTCTCTATCAACTCGACAAAGTTGTGAA